GAACTTGAAGTTCAGGTTCAATCTAGACAGGGCAATATATGTGAAAGTGAGAGAGAGCAAGAACAAGCTGGAACTCACAGACAAGAGTTCGAGACCATGAAGATGAATGAAATCCATGTCAGCGCTTATTACCTCTGACCTGATGGTGTGGGCATCTTACACAAGTGGGGGCCCATCATGAGCAAGCTCAACACACACACCTGACCCAGGGTTTGGAGAAGCTGAGGGAAGATCTTGGGGAAGGTGGAGCAGTTGCAGGCTCAGTCACTGCTGCATGCTAGTGAGGCAAGCCAGTAGATACACGACAATGACAGCAACTGTGTGGACCATCATGTATAAAACAATGTATGTTGTAAAAGAAAAATTGCACTGAACACTTCTTAAAAATGGCAAGACATATTTCAGTTGAGCTACTGCAGTAAAGAAGAGAGACTTCCATATAGAACTGAGCTTAACTCTAAATACAGCAAAGACAGCTGGGGATTTTTAGTCAATGAGCAGAATGAGGGGGTCAGTGGCTGGAAAATTACCAAGATGAACTTGAACAGATATCAAGGGGGGATTACTGCTAAACTGAGCTCAGCTGGCCAAAGATGAGGCCTAGGCAGGAAGGGAGCTCAAAGGAGCCTGACTAAAGTTTGGTTGTGGAGGGATTCCTTGTCAGCGCGAACTACCTAGATAACAGCTGTTTCCTTCTGTGCTCCAGATTTTGCACAAGAGTCTTTCCTATGGTCCAGTACAACTGAGAAATTTGGGAAATGTGGTTCAGCCTAGCCAAGGTAACAACGACCAAACCACCACACTCCTCTCTGGTGGCCGTGCTTCTTACCCTAGGCTTATTTCCCTGCTGTGAGATCCAGAGCATGGGGAGTGGACTCCCTCACCATCTCCCCTGAAAGTAGATAGGTAGGTGGGGGATTTATTGGCAGGACAAGGGCTGGCTTTTCCCCCTAGTTCTACTTTGTTTCTATCTTACGATGAGCTTTCTAGTCCTTTCTCCACTCCCAGGTCCTTGCTCCCTGGGACAACAGGGAGGCATGGTTCCATGTGGGGCATGGCCCTGGTCATGTTTACTGAGATCTATGCAGTATTATTAGTGGACTTTCTTGGATGCAATCAGCCAGAAAACAGCTAACATTCCCGCAACCAAAGCAAAAACAAACTATTTCATTTTCACTTACTCTTAGGGAACAGTTTAGAAATACTTTACTTCTGAGGTTTCTGTGTGATCCAGGCTTACGAGCCTTCGGAGATGCTCAGGACAGTGCTTTGCATTATAAAGGCAACAAATGTGAGAGCTACTAAGACCCAAAGCTTGTTCAGAGCTTCCCTCTGTCCATGGGATCAGGCCTTCTCCTGTACTCCTGCCCACAACTTTCTGTGACTACGGCTGCCAGAATGATGAGGGCTGGTTAAGAGACAGGCTTATGTTGCAGAGCATTTCACTCTCTCGCCTTGCTCCTTGGTGTCCAGAGTCTGATAAAAGGTAAATACTTTGTTTCTTGAAAGCAAGGTGACAAAAATACGAAGAAGGAGACGAGGTAATGAGAGGATAGTAAGTGAGCTCATTCCTCCGTGTTCATGGGAGGAGGTCAGTATTTGCTTTGTTAAATTGAGATACTTAGAAATAAAAGTCTTTTCGTATTATTTAGAGTTATACAGGCAACCACCAAAAAGATCTAAAGCCATACGTAGTTTAAAATGTTTGTTTCCAGAGATAAGAACAGGGATGTATTTGGAGGCAGTGGAGCAGGAAGTTCCGACTGCACTAGAATCCCTGTTCTCTTGGATTTCCTTTTTTCTATCTGAATTCATTATTTCAGTAATAATTAAAAGACAAGTCAAACTAACCTTTCCAAATAATCTTAGTCTATTGAATATGTCACGTATGTTTTGTTAATTATTGAAACCAGGCTACATTTAATGAAGGTGGAACAGAAAGGACAGAGCCGTTTTATTTCAGAGAATCCATGAACATCCTTTTGAGCAATATATGCAGAAAAATTCAGAAATTGTAATTTATACAGAATTTTAAAACTCTTCAATTACAATGGATAAAGAGAAGAATATACAGCTCAGGAGAGTGTTTGGATATTACTGGAGCACAAGTTTTTTAATCATTAATATAATTGGTGCAGGAATTTTTGTGGCCCCCAAAGGGGTGTTGAAGTACTGTAGCATGAACGTGGGGCTCTCCCTGTGTGTTTGGGCCGGCTGTGCCGTACTGTCCATGACGACAACGCTCTGCTCGGCAGAGATAGGTATAAACTTCCCATGCAGCGGATCCAATTACTATTTTATGAAGAGATGCTTCGGCTCCTTGATCGCTTTCCTGTATCTCTGGACATCGTTGATTCAGGGGCCAGGGATAATCGCTGGCCAAGCCCTGCTCCTGGCTGAGTACGGCATCCAGCCTTTTTATCCCAGCTGCTCTGCCCCAGAGCTGTCAAAGAAATGCCTGGCTCTAGCCATGTTATGGATTGTGGGAATTCTGACTTCTCGTGGTGTGAAAGAGGTGACTTGGCTTCAGATAGCTAGCACAGTGCTGAAAATGTCCATTCTTGGCCTCATTTCCCTCAGTGGAGTGGTGTTGCTGGTGAAAGGGAGAAAGGAGAATGTAGAATGGTTTCAGAATGCTTTTGATGGTGAATTTCCAGATGCCTCCCAGCTTACAGAAGCTGTCTTCCAAGGATATTTTGCATATTCAGGCGCGGGATCCTTCACATTAATAGCAGGCAATTAACAATCCATTGAGGAAAAAAAAATCTCAAGCCATGACATTGTATGCAATATGAAATGCATAGCACTTATTGTATTTCGAGTTTTATCTTAACTAAATGATTCAATGTTTTTTTCTTCCTTATGACTTTCTAAATCAGGTCATACCACCCTTGCACTGTCATCTACTCTTAATTTTTTTCCTGTTTATTCCAAAATACTTACTTGATTGGACTTCTCTTTTTCAGCTTTCTTTTCTGGGAAAACAAATTTGGGACTTCTGTGTTGATCTAGGTTCCTTTCTGTTAACGGATGGATACTGAGGTTGTGAAACTGTTCCCTACCCATGAAGCTGTAAATGCGGGAACAGTCTAATGCCAGACAGTGTTCGCGTTGTGGGTGGATGTGAGACACTTATTTATTTGGGGGATTATATTTTATATTTTATTATAACTTATTTTTCTTTCATTGACAAATGTAATGTTAAAGATTCATGTAATAATACAAATTGATTTTTGTTTTTGTTTGTTTTTCTTTTTACTTTTACGGAGTACTTCACAAATTTGCATGTTACCCTTGCACAGTGGCCATGCTAATCTCTGTATCGTTCCTATTTTAGTATATATGCTGCCAAAGCGATCACTGATTTTGGAGCCAATTGGCCTTTTGCTCATCGAGCATTTCAATTAATGCTAAAGCTATAATTTTCATGTATACATTATGAGAGCAGTCGCCCTACAGCAATCTTGGATGCTTCAAATGGTAAATTAGCCAAACTGCAAAGATAAATACTTGGGCCCACCACCTGTAACCACGACTGCAGAATTCTGAAAGAGGCTCCTTCCTTTCCCCATCCTCCAGACAACAACTCCCTGCACACCTGAAACAGCAGCTCTCTGCCCCCTTGACCACAATCACAGCACTGGGCAGAGGTGGCTGAAGTGCTGGCCCAGGTGGAACAGCACGGCACTGGCTCACTCAGAACCTCCGGGCAGAGCAACAAATGCTGGTTTTTGCCTTGTACTTGGACTAGGCTCTTAAGTATTTTTAAAGAGAAGAGAATCATGAATATTCTAGATTGCTCTGTGGCTGGATTTAAAATCCTTCTCTTCAATGTCAAGACAACAGTGTTTCTCTTTTTATTTCCAAAGTTAGTCTCTTCCCTTGAACTCTTTATCCTTTCCCTTCCACTTCCTTTAAGACTGTTCACATTCTTTTATTTCATTTTTTCGCAACTTTGACCTCTTTACTAGTTCTTTCTCTTGACATTTAAATATGAAACTGTTGCTTCTTGGCCTTTTGGCTAAGATCAAGTGTCAATATGAATCCAACTATTGATTCTGGAACAAAATTTTTCTTTAATCTTAGGACCCTCCACTGATGTGTCTATCATTCATGAATACATTTGAGCAGCAGCTACCTTTTTAAACACTGACTGTTTTTAAAACTCTGTATCAGTGCCTCAAGATGAGTAAGATGTAGTCTTTGCCCTAATGAGGCTTAAGTCTAGTAGAAGGGACAAGTCCTAGATTTTGTAGATAACTTGACCTCTGCCACTTACCAACTGTGGCAAGTATCCTCCCCTCTCTGGACTCTTTTTTTTTTT